TCACTTAATACGCTAGAACCCCCCATTTTTATAAACGACAGTGTTAATCGTTCAACCAATAGTCTAAATACTTTGCATGCGTTGTCATGACGGCATGTGGACTCCGCCAGTGAGGGCGTCGCCCCATAGCATCGTCATGACAACATCAATGCAACTTGGTGACAACAATCACTATACTTCTGATTATACATACGATATTCTGACCATAGGCAGTAATATTTCATTATCATATTCAACAAAATTGATGTGGTTATTTTTGGTTTGTTTTATTTTTTATAGCTTCGTGTCACGGCGAGCAGGCTCATGCATGTGATAACAGCGACGGGGATTCTATAAATAGATGTATTCCGCTTAGTAGTGTGTGTGATCACTTTCCCGACTGTGTTGATGGTTCGGATGAGAGATTATGTTCGTATGACGGTAGGTGATCGACTTAGGATGATTGTACGATTTTCCGAACTGGCAGACCGTGTCAATGGGATCTTTACCTGAGCGTGACGAAGTGTGTCACGAGAGCGACACGTACGTCCGATAGCACAGAGAAAACACAAAACGCTACAACTGCACTACGTATAGATATGGCACAATGGTTGCGTTCCAGTATCTGCAACTTGGTATTGGTGAATTAGTAGGGAAACTTGTCACTGATAGAATCGGTATCATTATATACACGTCAGATGTTGCCATGGTAACAGACTGTTGGATAAACTTGTATATACCATGTTGTGCAATATATCTTCTGTATATCTGTATATTTCTTATTGCAGACACAGGTACGTCGGGAGGATGTTCTACCAGTGTAACAGCATTGCCTACCACCATGTCGATGTTATACTCACCAGGGTATCCGTCTGACTACCCCGGGGATCAACAGTGTACGATTAACGTGCACTCGCCTGTTACTTACTGTACGTATATAAGATTCTTGGAAATGGACATTGCATGGAGTGCTAACTGTTCAGACGATTTTCTAGCGGTGAGTCCGAAATAACTTCACTAATAGATGCTTGTTATTACGCAATGATTGTGAATCCGTGTTGTTACTGATAAGACCACATTGGGCTAATGAAAACATTCGTTTGCACAACTACTTTTAATGTCGTACATCTTACATTTAGCATTACGTATCGATTGCTCTAAATGATTGTTATTACGCAATGATTGTGAATCCGTGTTGTTACTGATAGGACCACATTGGGCTAATGAAAACATTCGTTAGCACAACTACTTTTAATGTCGTACATCTTACATTTAGCATTACGTATCGATTGGTCTAAATGATTTGACAGCCTCTCCCATGAGAACAGAATCGATGATACCAACAAGTACAGTTAGCGTGATTAATAGCATTGCTTTCATCTGGGATTATATTGATGCGTGAGGTGCAAGGCAACATCGAATGACTAAAACGCAGAATTTGTTTCTAATACTAATTCTCGAAAGCGGCAAACCACTTAACTGCGTGTGAAATCACTATCACGTCCCTTACACAATTTTTATTATCATACACGCCTCCGTTGCAGCTAGATGACGTAATGAATACCAACATCAGCCGTAAATATTGCGGTCATAATACGCCGACATCTTGGATATCCTCCTCAGATGAAGTGCTCCTACACTTCTCCAGTAACTCTGACGGACTGGCAGGACGAGGGTACCGGCTGGAATACACGGCAGTGCCTTGTCAAGATGATTCCATGATGACTTGGGAAACTGGACCCTGGGAAGAGGTCACTAATAAGTATTATTACATAATATTTCCCTTCCTCGGACGTCGTACGTGATGGCATTGTCAGTTACTCCATCACCATATTAGATAATTGCAAAGTATTTAATGTACCAGATACACTCATTTAGCTGTGAAGGAATTCCAATCAGTCAATTTTCAGATTAAACGCAATTACAACCATTGTTATATGTGTCGTGACTTTCTGTTCACTGACGCTTTGTTGCTAGATGGCGCGATTAGAAGAATTATCGATAATGCAAGCACACATTGATATATACAGATACCACACGCTACGTAAATACGTATAACCAAATTATTCTCTACTGGATTTGTTGACTTAAGTCCGAGCAAAGATATGTCCACTAACCAAAACATAGATCAGGCCACCGCCACACAGGTATGTCCACACGCCAGAACGCAGATAAGGACAACGTCACACAAAGATATGTCCACACACCAGAACACAGATCCGGACACCGGCACACAAAGACATGTTCGCACATCAGAACACAGATCAGGACACCTACACGCAAAAATATGTCCACACATCAGATAGAACACTGCTGAGCACATTGCTTTTCCGGGAATAAATGTACTAGTAGAGTAAATTACTTGAGCATGAAAGGAAGAAAATAATTACTTGTTTTTCAGTGTTCTGTAACTTGTGGCATTGGTACACGAAGTCGCCAAGTTCAATGTCCTGTTGATTCGTCGTCGTCACTATTTGAATGCCTTATTCCGGGATCAATACCGCCGTCTGAAGAAGTGTGTAACACTCAACCATGTCCAGGTAATTTTTAAATAATTCTAATCCAATTTATTTATGTGACTTGGTTGACCGTTATGAACCGGTCATAGTGGCCTCAGGTCATCTAACACTAATATTTTGTTATTAAAAGACAAGATTCAAAATGTACCACAAAAACTTATGATTGGTGTTCTTTTAGCAAATATGCCCTCTTTTGTGGAATGAACTTCTACTCTACATTCAATCAATATCAATGTTTTTAAGATTAGTCTGAAAACCCGTCGATTTAAAAGACAGTTTTCATTTAAATCAGACTTTAATGGTAATGCTATTTTAAAAGTATTTTGAAAACTTTTTATTTTATTTGTTTATAATACTGTTAATGTTTCTCTTAGTGTGAATTTTATTTATGTTTGTATGGCGGTGTTTGACGCAGTGAACATCGCTTAATAAAATATGTTATTATTATTTTTTTTATCTGATAAGCACCATCAGCTAGAGTTACCAAACACTGCCAGCATACCGTTCCTGTAAGACACGCCCTCCAGTGGCGAGGAGTTTCTATGACGCAAATGCGTGAATGAAAGCCTATTCACATCATCGATAATGTTTTGATTTGTAACAGTCCATAAAAATAAAGTTTTGAGGTAATTACTGTGTTTTAAATGACAAACGAAAGCACACCGAGGCACAGTTGTTGATTTGGACGAGTCTGACGTTGCCACCACCTATCTACGCAATTGTAACGTCACCGAAGCGCGTTGTCGGTAGAGGGCGCGACATTTAAGAAAGGTGAATTGCGTTGAGCTATTACGTAATATAAACTTATTGTTAACCTTCGTACTATACTTACTTTTCTGAAATCTACAAAAGTTTACAACTGTATATTGGAGTCAAAGAAAATATTTAGCGCGATGGAGGGACAATATTTTGATGTTGAAGTATACCTTCAGTGTAAATACCGTGCTTTTCAACCCTTCTTTTCAGGATGGTATAGAATCTTTTGAAATTTCTATTAGGCGAACTGTTTCTGAGTTAAGATTTGCTTTTACCAGAAAGCTTAGCGCTGAATCTTACTTTCAGAACTGTGTTATTTTCTTACTCTCTAGACGGGTTGTGTGGGGCCGTGCTTGAACAGTGTTGTGCTGAACTGACGTCACCGGGTTACCCTGACAACTACACTGTCAATCTGCATTGTGAGATTTACATAATCAATTCCGATGGTTGTGTCGCTATTAATTTCATTGCCATGGATATTATTGACAGTGAAGAATGTCATAAAGACTACTTACTGGTCAGTATGACAATGTAAAACAATTACAGCGGGCGAGTCGTCACTTGCGCATGTGCCAGATGGCCATAGCGTGTCATTATTTACAAACAAGCGTCGCTTGGGACTCGATTCCCGCGCGTGCGCAGGTGACAAACTCCCGCTTTAAATTCTACCTGATTCAACAACCTCAATAACGATAACAACAACACCGCCATTGACAGAAAGTAGTATTTTCACGTGATTTGTGTTTTGTAGATTCAAGATCTTGACCGTCCAACGCACAGACAGATCTACTGTGGCAAGAGTATGGAACGATGGAATTCGGTTTCTGGTCGTGTATTAATGACCTTCCACAGCGATAGTTATATGGGTGCCGCTGGATTCAAGGCAACGTACGAGTTTGTACCGTGCGGAACGTGGCAGGTCATGGCATGGAGTCAGGTACGTATGTATGCTCGGTGCCCAGTGATACTCTGAACTGTGCAACGGTACATTCGATCTATGCTGCACAACATCACAAATATAATGCTCATGACAGTGTTAGCGTTGAGTCAATGCGAAGTTACTTTACAAAATTATACCTGATTGACTACCCAACCATAACACCCATCAGTCGGACCAATCAGAGAGCAGGTTTTTTTCGACGCATCAAATTCTTCCTTGCATATAGGCTTCGACTCATCTGTTGGCGTTTGATCTGGCGTTGATCGTAATTTAATGCATGAACAAACAAACATCGGTGACTTTTATATCATTTGACATTGTAATGGCCTGAACACATCAGAAATCAAATAATATTAATCTGACATGGTTTCCAATCATCCCAGAAAATGTAGACGACTTTCTGTTGAGTACCTTGCCAATATTTACCGGAACTATTTTTAAGATAAGCAACAATTTGATTGAATTTAGTTGTCGTTCCAAATATGTGTAGTTTTTCGTGTATTCCGAAACTTTCTCAAACACGTTAAACGACCAAGTGACTAAAATATCTAGTTCTAGGGCTACATTTACGATGATAAACGTGTCGACGAAATAATACCAGTGCAAGGACGTAAAGTGCCTACTGCATGTACATCCATATTGAATGAATAATCTATACTATGCTTTCTCGTGTACACTGACGTACTACCTACTAGTATATGCAAATAACGTCAGTGTAACAAAGTGTATTTCTTTCAGTGTACGGCGTCGTGTGGGAATGGTATGCGATTCCGACGGGTTTTGTGCTGGAGTCGCTCGCATAATGGTGAGATAGATGAAAAGTTTTGTTCGGACGTCAAACCAATTACGTCGGAAAAGTGCAATGACGTCACATGTGACGTAGGTAGGTATTCTTTAGCTTACCGCGCAATGTTACACAGCGTCTGATTGGGCGCCTTTCCAACAGGCACATCCAATCAAACTTGGTTATTTGTTTAACATAAAATACGCGTTTATCCAGGCTGATCCCGCACGGGTTGGTGGAGTCGGTAATGAGTCGGCAACAACAAACCGTGCGATTCTGATTCGGACGATGATTAAATATATATTGTGTCTATTATTTGACGAAAATAGTTTCACTGGATAGTCGTGTTTATATAATTATTGAATATCACCATCTAAAGCAACCACACCGACCAATAAGCCATCGTTTATGCGTGGGTACAAGGTTTGGAAATTCAACACATTAAACCGGCTAGCCGTTCAATACCACTATCATGATTTATATTTCAGTCAGTTTGACAGTGGTTGTTAATGACAAGACCAGATGGCGAGCTGGTCGAAATCAACCAAAAACATCTTATGACTCTGCAGTTTTTAAGATACAAGACAGTAGCTGTAATTCTAAACCAATGTTGTTTGCGAGTTTAAAAAAGGTAGTATCTTGGTGGAATGTTAGTGCGAGATTATTACCCCATCAATATTAGTTAGCGTTGACAATGTATAGAAATGTTTTCTCTAGACAGCTTGACGAGTAATTAATTGATTATGATGTGTAAAACTTTCATGTGATTGGTTGTTTGTTGGAAGGCAAGGCCTTGGAGTCTCTTATACTGATTGTAATTGGTTAAGGGGTGACAAGAAATAAAGATGGATTTAATGCTGTCTCGGGTGAAAACCAGGGACTTGGCAGAGAATCGTTTTGGGAACATGAACGAAGCTTGTGTGTGTCTTTTGTTAGCCTAGCGTGGAAACGACCGAATCCCGGTTACCTAAGTGAAAGGTTTTTAACCATCAAAAATACCTATCACACCACAAACATTGAGCAATATACATCTTCCCGGGGACCTCTTCAAGTTCTCATGAATGTTCATTTTGTATTTCTTTTAAAGTTGAGGTCACTGAAATCCCCTACACGGTGAAAAATTTGTACGAACGTTTCAAAGACCTAGTTGATGAGTTCAGTGTTTATCAAGACTTCATCGATTCCTACTACACAAAGAACTCCTTTGATGGGATCATGGAATACCCACCGGATTGGGTCGGTGAGATGATTTTCTCCGCTATAGTATTTAAAGCCATACCCCAGACCATTCGTCCCGGTGTTATCGCTATCGCCACACGAGACTCCAGCTTGTCTTCTATACAATTTGACTGCGCACATCCAGAAAGTAGATGTAGCTGTGATTGGTGGAATACTAATGAGTTGAGTGTCAATCAAACGCCCACGCTATCTTTAGTAAACAAAGTCACGTGACACGCGCCATTTTAGTTTTGATTAGTTCATCGTGGTCGGGCAGGCGATTTCAAGGCAGCAGGCTTAACCCTTTCATTCACAGGTTGGGAGATATTAGAATGACTGACAATTTCACGCCACTGTTTTACATTATTGGCGGATTTTTCTGCGCTATCAATCTTTCTCTTACAAACTAGACATAGATGAGACGACAGAGTCGCTCTTTTCACAACGTCGCACTGGATCAAATTGGAAAGACGATTTCCATAAGTTATCCTCCTGCTTTTCCTGGCTTGAATAAATTCACACACGACTTTAACTGTCCACAAACTCGAAGACTACACGAACACAGTCTACAATAGTCGTCCGCAACAATATGTATGTATTTCTTCGGTGTACTGATGCACGAATGCACCGTGACACGGTGTTTCTCGGGTGTCGCCATCGCTGAGAATGCCGCCGGCGCAATTTTTCACCCAACTCGCGATTCTGTTTTGCAACATTTTATCAATATTCCCTTTGACAAAATCGTCGACAAAAGCACCGCTTTGCTGATCTTTTGTTCTATAATTCTTAATGCAAACACCGACCCTAGTAGTAATTAGTAACGTCGCCTAGTACATATCATGGATGTACTAAGAATGAACGGTCGTCATTGCAAATCGAACATCCTTTTGAAATTTGGACGTCGGGCAGGCGATTTCAAGGCACCGCACTTAAATATTAGCAACATATGATTTTTCTGAGCGGTTGTTGATTCTCTTTCAAACGAGACATAAATGTGACAACATAGTCGATCCCTTATCCACCGCTAAGAATGCCGCAATGTTTCGTTCGTTTTGCAACATGCCACAAATCGTCAAAAAAAACACCACTTCGACGGAAGCTTGCGTAATAAGGGGGTTAAAACAAGAAAACAAATGCCATGTTTAATACATATCAACCTGTTTTACTTGCGTTTCGTGCGACTTCGGAACCCGAAGTTCCATGGGGTTTATAGTTCCATTAACACACCAACAACGTTGAATTTACCCGCTATCTTCCAAATATGGTATATTAATTTATTCAGTTGTTTATTTAGAGTGACGTCCGCGGTCGAATGCGATTGGCTATCGATGTCAGTGCAAAGGTCATATGAATATTAAAATTAAGTGGGCGGAAGGAAAATTGTATAGGAGACAAGCTGGAGTCTCGTGTGGCGATAGCGATAACACCGGGACGAATGGTCTGGGGTATTAAAGCCAGGATTCCGGTTTTCAGAATCTAGAAGGAAAATATAAATCCTTCCGTATTATTTTAGAAAATACTTTATTTCCTTCTCATAATTATGATGCACAAATTACTAGTAGCATATTTGGAAACTTATCTACGTTAATATAAAAATTAGCATATTTGGTAATTGCAAAGCTCATTACAATGATTAATACCCTGTTTTTACTAATTTTGGTCAATATTTTTATTATTATTTTTGAATTATTAAACAGTATAATAAATTGCCATCAATGCAGTTTTTGGTTCTTTCAGTCGATGTTTCTGTTTGCCCAGAAAGACATATGCAAATTAACCAATTATTATGCATATTTTGTACATACACTACTGTAATGACTGTATTCTTTGTATGCACTTTTTTCACGTTCATACTATTACATAAAACATTCCGAAATTAGCTTTTAGAATACTTTGCACGAACTCATTATTAGTCTTAATTTGTTTCTTATAGTTAAATCTCCCTCATAGCCATTCCAAAAACAAAAATCACATCACTGGACCACACCGTCACGGTCTGTTTCCGTAATGTATGTTTCTTATAATGCCAGGATTGCTGTCGCGTAGTACGAGCCCTGATTACAGTGACTTGCAGGATATGCTTAAACTCTCTGCAGAGGAAGTTGCTAAGTTTGGTCACCAAGGAGAAGATTTCATTTTGAGATGTACGTTTGATGAGAAGTACTGCAACTCAAGGTATCATGACGTCAGCTAATATTTCTAATATATTAATCACATCTGATTATTGATTACTATTAACACGTGTTACTTAATCAAAATATAAACAATCTCTGTCATCAAAGATTCTTCTGGAAGTCACAATTTTCCGAAAGTCTTCGGAATTTACGAATAATGCCGACAACGGTGTAATGTGGGTTTTACTCTTTTTTTAGCCAGTTTAGTGTTTTTCAGAATGATAATTATGGCAACTGTTATACGTTCAATGATGAAAAGCTCATTAATGGGACTATCCGGCGATCCTCAAGACCAGGGGCACGATTTGGTAAGTGTACAAATAATGTTTATGTTTACAATTTTTCCAGCCTTGGGGTCTAGTTAATTTAGAAAGCAACTTCGTGTAACCTGTTTTGAACTGGTACTTTCACAACTTCCTGTTATGAGTTCGCGACAGTGCCACCAACGACGAGAAGGGCGATTTGTTTTTATAGCCGACATGATGTACATGATAGTCCAATACGCCCTCTAGTGGGATATATACGAAGAACAAATGTAACTTCATAATAACTACTAGTATCTGTATGTCATTATCCTCATTCTAGGTTTGAAGATCACGTTATATTTGGAACAGAATGAATACATACCAATATTTGGACAAACGGCCGGGGTTCGTGTTTTGATTCACCCCCCTGACGTAGCACCATTCCCAGAAAATAATGGAATCACCGTACCACCGGGCTTCAAGTCATCGTTTGCAATACGCAGGGTAAGTTTCTAGCCGTGACTGCAAGTTCAAATACAAACAACCTGTGGGAAACTGTTTTTGTTTATTTTTCCCGTCGGGCGGACAGCGTCACTCTGTATGTTTCAGGGGGGGGGATTGGCATGAGAGGGCGCCATCCGATCTGAATGGAACGTTTCGACGTCAGTCGCCCGTAGCCCATCGTCAAAGCAACAACGTCCCGTTTTCAAAGAGATGAAATAATTTCAGCAATTTCTTTACAGAATAATCCACAACAAAACTTAGAAACATTTCATAGACAAATAGGCCCCAAAATTATGTCTATTGCAAAACAATTCAACCAACGACCAGTTTGACGCCACAATTTATTGCTGGAGCCCGAGATCTACGCGTGATGGTATTGCGTTCAAATCTGTTCCATTTCAAACTGCGCATGCACACACACTGTGGTTTCTCGAAATGCATACTAATTAGGTAACTTGTCACTAATAAAAGTCACCGAAAACATTTTGAGCAATTTTGAGCAATAATACTAGAGTGAAATTTAAACGGGCCTCTGCATTCTCTATGAATATCGCAACTTGCTATGATCAGGGTAAAGAGAAAATCTGTGCTTACTTTCAACAGTTAGCTGGAGTCCGCTCGAAAACGCGTCTCAAAAAATACCTTTACATCATTTTTCCGATAATTTTTCCAGCTCGTAACGATAGAATCGGTCAATTTAGAACTAACATGTATGCTATCGGAAAGCATTTTGGCACAATTTTACTGAAAAGACGAGTTTTTCATTGCTCATGAATATTAATTTATGCAAATGAGACGAGTATTTCAGCCAATCGTGTCATGCAACTCCCCCCCTGGTATGTTTATGTTTACGTCCATACTTACTTTATACTCTATTTATGTTTGGTCTTAATTATTGTAATTCTGTTAATTGATTTAATTAATCCCTGACACCTGGTCAGCGCAATGTATTGTTTTGGCGGCACCTTTCATGTGCGCTATATAATGCGTGACCATTTGCAGAATAAACCAGAGTTCTTTCAACCATCAATCGAACGTCTCTCCGTGATATCGTCTTTTCCGACCGATGTATTTCCCCTACCACATTTTTTGGTGCCGAGAACCAGTTGCATTGCTGAACCTACTAACACTCAACGAAAAGTTGCAGTCACTAGTATATCAAGAAGTCAAGATGACAGAACCAAGAACGAATCTGCAACAACTTACGAAGAAGCGAGGTGCTAACAAAGCGCAGCTAACCAGACAGTTACAGAAAGCGGACGATACATCGAAAAAAGACAAACTAGAAGAAACCGACATCGAACTGCTTCAGTCAACCATCGAAAACATTGAAGAACAAATCAAACTGGTACGTGACCTAGACGAACAAATACTTGATCTCGTCGAGGAAGAAAACTACGAAAGACTATTCACTGAAGCCGACGATTCACTGAACTCCGCATCACTCGATACCAGCGGGTTTTGAACAAAGCAGAGAAGATATCGTCTCAACCAAATCCAACTGCCGCCACAGAAACATCGTCAAATTCACCATCGTCGTCA